GTAGGTGTCACTGCCCTCCCCCTTTATAAATGGCAAAGGGAACCAGAGAGTTGTGAACAGACTCCCCCAAGGTCTAAACAGTTTTTGGCAGAAACATTCACCAGATCAAAATATGTGGTGCATTTAGGATGTCGGTCCTCTTGGACATGCTGCCACTGTTAAGTGTCCTCAAGTAGACAACTCACAGTGACTTTCATCAATCCATTGTATCTGTGATCTTCTTCTTTGGCCTGTCCAAGGAAAGCCCAACCTGCAGGTGGCTGTGTCTCCTGCCGCCACCATCTTGGCTCCAAGAATTCTCCCCAGAGCAAGACCACTTTGCAGCAGTGTGGCGGTTCCACTGCACCCATCTCGGGGAGGCCCGGTGCCCACCATCCATCCTGGGTGAGGGAATTCCTAGGTTCCGGCAGTGAGTGCCCCATGGAGGTGTGGCGGTGGTGCGGGCTCAGCAGCAGAGGGGTGGGAGCCATGGGACTCACCCATTCCTCCCTGGGAATCCTTGAATTCCTGTTGTTGAGCATCGATCCTTACTGAAGACCAGTCATCAACTGTTTAACTGTTCAATTATCAATAAACAGAGGTCTGTAGAAGGCCATAGTAGCTCTCCTCCAAGTGGTCCGCTGCTCCCACAGCTCACCACATTGTCTCCGCCTCTGCCGCAATCTTAGATCCAAATTTCTTAACAGTGATACTGAAAAATATTTTTTCATCCGACAAACTGCCCCAAAACCCCATTCCAAGGCTTTTCCTTCCAGTATACAAGCCATAAATATATTTTAAATAAATCTTCAAAAAAGTAAAGGGACAGAAGGGAAGCCTCCTGACAATTGCTTCAAATGCAGTTCTCACAAATACCTAGTTCAGTAGTGCTCCAAGGGTATCTTTGTAGCAGAAGAGTAATCAGACTGATGGGGACTCTGGCTCCCTCAGGGACACAGCAAGCAATCAACACAGCACCACCATACACATAGAAAAGCCTTGAGTATGCATGGAAGAAGCTGGTAAGATAATTCACTTTCTTCTCAACATTAAGACAAGAGTCTTAAAATCTTTTTTCCCCCACATCAACTTACTATTGTAAGCATTAAAAACAAAAACACCAGGGCCTCTCATGTGACCTGCACCTCTCACGTGACCTGCTCATTGGGGGATCTTACTTTCACTCTCCTTCAAGACACCAAATCTTGTGTGGCATAAGCAACCCAAGAGTATATCCCAGTCAACACTTCCCCTGCATCTGCTAAAGGCTGTGACCCAGTCCACATGCACTCATACCCTAGCCAGCAACAGAACCACTGCCTGCTAAGTTGAGGGGCTGCAGTTTTAAATTGCTATCCTACCCAGAGCACTAGACCACTGCCGCACTGCCTGGAGACTACAGAGCTGCAGCCCCTGCTGTCCAGTGCAAGGAGCACCAGTATCACAGGTACTTTGGGTGAAGCACTGCTGTCTTTAAGCTCAGGCAGGAAGGGGCTGGGCCAGGTCAAGCCAGGCAGAAATGCAGTTTCTGGAAGGGAACAGACTTTGTGTTTTGCCATTCAGGTACTTGGAGGGAAACACTACTATCTAGCTACACTGCATAAGATCCCTTAAACTCAAGTGGAAGGGGCCAAGCCAAGTAGAGCTGGGCCAGACATGGTTTCTGGAAGAGAACAGACATCTTGTTTTCCGTCAAGTGCTTTGGGAGAAACACTGCTATCTAACTACACTATGTGGGAACCCTAAAGATCAAGGGAAGGAGTCGATCCAGGATGAGACACAGTTTCTGGAAAGGAACAGACTTCCCGTTTTGTCATTCAGATACTTTAGGTGAAACACTGCTGCCTAGCTATATATACTATGTGGGACTCCTTAAGCTCAAGTGGAAAGGACTGGGACAGGTTGAGCTGGACAGAGACAGTTTCTAGAAGGGACCAGACTTCCTTTTTTGCCAATCAGGTACTTTGGATAAAACACTCATATATAGCTACACTATGTAGGAACTCTAAAGCACAAGGGGAAGGGGCTAGGCTGGGTTGAGCCAGGATAAGACGCAGGTTCTGGAAAGGAACAGACTTTTTGTTTTTCATCAGGTGGTTTGGGTGAAACACTGCTGTCTAGCTACAGTACATGGGACTCCTTAGCTAAAAAGTGGCACGGGACTGACCAGGTCATACTGGGCCAAGATGTGCTTTCTGGAAGGGAACAGACTTCCTGTTTTGCCACTCGGTACATTGGGTGAAACACTGCAGTCTAAGTACACTACATGGACCCCTTAACTCAAGCAGACAGGCTCAAGCCAGGCCAAGATGCAGATTCTGGAGGGAACAGACTTCCTGATTTGCCATTCAGGTACTTTTTTGGGGTGAAACATTGCTGCTTAGATACATGACATGGGACCCCTTAAGCTCAAGCTGAAGGGGTTGGGCAAGGTCAAGCCAGGCGAGATGTGGTTTGTGGAAGGAAGCAGATTTCCTGTTTTGACATTTAGGTTCTTTGGGTGAAACACTGCTGTCTAGCTATACTTTGTGGGAGCCCTTAAGCACAAATAAAAGGGACTGGGCTGGGTCAAGCCAAGCCAAGATAATTTCTGGACTGGAACAGACCTGCTGTTTTGTCATTCAGGTAATGGAGCCCCCTAAGCCAAAGGTCAAGGGGCTGGGCTAGGCCAAGATATGTTTTTCTGGAATGGAAAATACTGCCTGTTTTGCCATTCAGGTACTTTGTGTGAAAAACTGCTATCTAGCTACACAATGTAGGACCTCGTAAGATCAAGCAGAAGGAGCTGAGCCAAGTCGAGCTAGGCCAAGCCACTTTTTCTGAAGGATACAAACTTCAGCTCAATTTCCTTGGGTTATATTCCTAGTAATGGAATAACTGGGCCATATGGAGTTTCTATGTTTAACTTTTTGAGGAAATGCCAAACTGTCTTCCAGAGTGACTGTATCCTTTTACAATCCCACCAACAGTGTAGCAGAGTTCCCACCTCTCCACATCCTCTATTGCTTGCTGCCCTGCTAAAGTTTGCTATTGTTACTGGAATGAGCTGGTAACTCATTGGGGTTCTGATTTGCATCTCTCTTATTGCCAGTGATTTGAGAGACGCTGGAGAGCATTATGCTGAGTAAACTAGTGCAGTCTCATAAAGACAAATACTGCATAAGATGATTATTGTAAACATAGAAGGATAACTAGTAAAACATGTACAGGAACTAAAATATGGTGCGGGGAGTTAAAAGGTGAGGATAGGTAGGGGTGAAACCACAGGGCTTCACAGTTTGGTGGGTGGAGGGAGAGGGGAAAGCAAATGTGAAGTATCTAGGTGAAAAGACAGGGTAATGATGGGCAAGGTCCAATGGTGATAGATTTTATAAAAGATAATGTATGAGAATGATTGTTGTTGATGTTATTGTGTACTGTAGAGTCAGAACCAACCCATAGCTGACCCTCTAGCAGGTTTTCTGAGGCAGTCAATCGCACGGGAGGAGATTGTCCATCCTCCACCTGTAGAGCCTCAAACCACGTGTCTTCAGGATTGCAGTACAGCTTCTTGACACTAAGACACCCTGTGTGGATGACAATAAACTGTGGCTAACTCTGAGAAGAATGGGAATCCCAGAACACTTGACTGTGCTTATGCAAAACCCATACTTGGACCAAGAGGCAATCATCAGAACATAGCAAGGAAACACTGCATGGTTTAAAATCAGGAAGAGTGTATGCCAGGAATATGTCCTATGTCCATACCTTTTCAACCTATATGTAAAACAGATTGGTGGAAGTCTCATCAATAACCTGCATTATGCAGATAACACCACCTTGCTTGCTGAAACTGAGGAAGACCTGAAGTACTTACTGTAGAGGGGCAAGGGCCACTCTATGGATTGAAGCTCAACACCGAGAAAACAAAAATTTTCACCACTGGGCCGATTAGTAGCATCATGATGGACAGTGAAGAGACTGATATTGTTAACAGCTCTAGTTTGATTGACTCCACAATGAACATTCTCAGTACCAGCATCCAGAAAAGCAAAAGATGAATTCCTTTGAGAAAGTCTACTGTCAGGGACATCTCCAGAGTACTGAAGAGCAACAATGTCGTTCTGGAGACTAAGGTGCGTCTGATCCAGATCATGATTTTTTCAATTGCTTGCTATTTATCAGAAAGCTAGACAATGACTAGAGATGATATAAGGAGAATTGATGCTTTTGAGCTGTGGTGTTGGAGAAGAGTATTGAATATACCATGGACTACTAGGAAAACAAACAGGTTCGTCCTAGAGAGGATCAGACCTGGCTGTTCCTTGGAAGCAAGGATTTTGAAGCTCCATCTGACATACTTTGGGCATGTTTCAAGGAGGGACCAGTACTTGGAGAGGGATGTCAGGCTTGGGAGGGTGGAGGGACAGCACAAGAGAAGAAGACCCTCTATGAAGTGACTCAGTGACTGGAGTAATGGGGGTAGGTGTGTCAGAGACAGTAAGGCTGGCTCAGTATAGAGCAGGGTTCAGAGCTGTTGTACATAGGGTCGCTGTGAATCATGAGCAACTTGATGGCACATAGCAGCAATGAGAATTATTGTATGAAATAATGTGAATGAAGAAAAGTGTGATACACAATGTATATAAACTTTGTAAGCAAACCAATTTTTAAAAAAATACTCTAAAATAGAATGTATATGAATGTACAAAACACAATGTAAATAAAAGATTGTATATGAATGAAACAATGTATAGGAACCATATGAAAACCAACCAAAACTAAAAAAAAAGAGACTTGTACAATGTCAAGAAAGAAGATACTAATGATGGAAGAAACCATAGGAGTCATTGAGAGAACAAATACCATAAAGACAGCAATCCAGAAAAAATATACTAGTGAGGAGCAGCTTTAACAACTATAGAAGAAAATATAAAAGATGGAAGAAAGAATTGGTATGATAAAGTGGCACAAAAACTTAAAATAACATATCAAGACAAAAGAGGATACAGCCAACACAGTATTGGAAATAACAGAAAAGCATGAAAATGCAGCACAGACTATTAAGACAAAAATGGCAGAAGTGGCCCACGTACACCAACCTCAACCATCTCATAGATTCTGCCTCCTTGCAGTTTGATGGAGCCCTAAATGAGGACCTGACGGAGTTCCAGACCAATCTGGTCCCATACCCTTGCATCCACTTCCCCCTAGCCACCTATGCCCCTGTCATCTCTGCTGAGAAGGCGTACCACGAGCAGCTGTCAGTGGCCAAGATCACCAATGCCTGCTTCGAGCCGGCCAACCAAATGGTCAAGTGTGACCCTCGCCACGGCAAGTACATGGCCTGCTGCATGCTGTACCGAGGAGATCTGGTCCCCAAAGATGTCAACGCTGCCATCGCTACCATCAAGACCAAGCGCACCATCCAGTTTGTAGACTGGTGTCCGACTGGATTTAAGGTGGGTATTAACTACCAGCTGCCCACAGTGGTCCCTGGGGGTGACCTGGCCAAGGTGCAGTGGGCTGTGTGCATGCTGAGCAACATCACAGCTATTGCTGAGGCCTGGGCACGCCTGGACCACAAGTTCAACCTCATGTATGCCAAGCGTGCCTTTGTGCACTGGTATGTGGGCGAAGGCGTGGAGGAAGGGGAGTTCTCCGAGGCCCGGGAGGAGCTGGCAGCTCTGGAGAAAGATTATGAAGAGGTGGGTGTCAACTCTGTGGAAGCAGAGGCTGAGGAAGGGGAGGAGTACTAGATGGAGTGCACCAGGCAGGTCTGTCCTCACCTCTGTCAGGCCACCTTGCCTCCCAGTGTGGCTGTGGCCAAGTTGTAAGTTCTCATGATTAAAAGGTCTATGTTAAAAAAAAATGGCAGAAGTGTCCAACATGCTGTGGGACATGAAAAATAGAACTGAATAGATGGAACAGAGAGTCATTGAACTGGAAGACAAGAGCCTCATGGGAAACATACTAGAAGAAAAATCAGAGATGAGATGTGGAAATGAAGAAAACAGTAGAACCATGTTTGATGACATCAAAAGGAAGAACATTGTATGATTGGAATTCCAAACATGGGAGTGACAGGAAAATTGAAGAAGTACTTGAAGAAAATTTCCCAGGTGTTTTGAAGAATGGGGAAATGCACATTCAAGAAACACAATGAAGACCAGATAGATTAGACCCAAAAAGAAAAACACCAAGACAGTGAAATTCTCTAAAGTAAAAGATAAAGATAGAATACTAAAATCAGTGTGAGAAAAACAAAGAGTCTCCCACAAAAGGGAAAAAATTAGAATATGTTCCAATTTCAGAGCAGAAACTATGTGAGCTAGAAGACAATGGGATGGCATATACAGAAAATAAACAATTGCCAAACAAGTATCCTATACCCACCCAGCCAAGCTCTTCATCAAATATAAAGGAGAAATTAGATCCTTTGCAGAAAAGAAGAAACTTCAGAAATTTGTGAAATCAAGACTAAAACTCAAATAATTTTTTAACATTTTTATTCTGATTTACATACAAAGTTCATAGAGTTTGTATATGTTTTTCACACCGGATCTTTCCCCTTGCCTTTTCTCACCCCTCCCTCCATCCACCAAATTGTGTGACCCTATTATTAAGCCCCTCCCCCCCGGATTCTATACTCATTCTACAATAATGGTCTTATACAGTATTTGTGCTTATGAGACTGTGTTGTTCTCCAGTCCCTTCCATGTTAGGTAGTAATTTACAAAATCAATACTCCTGCATGGTGCATAGTATTCCATTGTGTGAATGTACCATATTTTCTCAATCCATTCTATTGTGGTTAGGCATTTGGGCTGTTTCCATGTTGTTGCTATGGTGAATAATGCTATGAACATTGGTTTACAAGTCTCTGTGAATAGCTGGGTCATATGGAAGTTCTATGTTCAGCTTTTTGAAGAAACACCAAACTTCCTTCCATAGTGGTTGTACCATTTTACAATCCCACCAACAATGTATAAGAGTTTCTGTCTTGCTACATTCTCTCCAATATTTATTACTTGCTACTCTGCTAAACTTTGCCACTGCTACTGGGGTAAGATGGTATCTCATTGTGGTTTTGATTTGCACCTCTCTTATTGCCAATGATTTAGGGCATTTCTTCATGTGTCTGTTGGCCATCTGAATGTCCTCCTCTGTGAAAAGTCTTTTCATGTCTTTTGCCCATTTTTTTTCTTTTATTATTTTTGTGTGAGTGTACCGTCAAATCAGATCTGACTGGTACAGGAGGAGATTGTTCCTCCTTCCCCGGCAGAGCATCTGGTGGATTCGAACTGTGCGCCTCTAGGATTGTAGTTGCAGCTCCTTGCCACTAGGCCACCAGAGCTCCCCTCTTTTGCCCATTTTGTGATAGGGTTATTAGTCTTTTTCTTCTGGAGATCCTGTGGGATTCTGTAAACTTTTGTGATGAGACACTTATCTAAGGTGGTATTGCCAAATGTTTGTTCCCAGTCAGTTCATTTTCTTTGTTGGAAAAAAGTTTTTGATGAGCATAGAGATTTAATCTTTAGAAGGTCCCATTCAGACCAGTAGAGAGGCAACAGCCAGAGCAGCCGCCTGCCTATGCCCTCTCCCGCCCGCCCTCCACCCGTCCTGGGGTCTTTTTCCCCCTTCTCCACCGCCCCCTTCCTCCTCTGTCCGCCCGCGGGGCCCCTCTCGCCTTCCCGCCAGCCCCTATTGTTCCGCCCCCAGCCTCCCGCCCTTCCCCTTCCCGCCCGCTCCCCCTTTCCCCCTCAGTCGCCTCGCGCCCACAATTTTGTCTTTCACCCTCACCTGTGACCAAAGACTTGACCACTCAAAGTCCAGCTCACAGAACACAGCTCGACGTGGACACTGGCGTGATTGAAGGTGGATTAAATGTCACTCTCACCATCCAGCTACTTATGCATGGAAAGGAAGTTGGCAGTATCATCGGAAAGAAAGGAGAATCGTTAAGAAGATGCGTGAAGAGAGTGGTGCACGTATCAACATCTCAGAAGGGAATTGTCCTGAGAGAATTATCACTTTGGCTGGACCTACTAATGCAATCTTTAAAGCCTTTGCTATGATCATTGACAAACTGAAAGAGGATATCAGCAGCTCTATGACCAATAGCACAGCTGCCAGTAGACCCCCAGTAACCCTGAAGCTGGTGGTTCCTGCTAGTCAGTGTGGCTCTCTCATTGGAAAAGGTGGTTGCAAGATCAAGGAAATACGAGAGAGTACAGGGGCTCAGGTCCAGGCGGCAGCGGATATGTTCCCCAACTCAACCGAGCGGACCATCACTATCGCTGGCATTCCGCAATCCATCATTGAGTGTGTCAAACAGATCTGCGTGGTCATGTTGGAGTTCCCCCCGAAGGGCGTGACCATCCCTTACCGGCCCAAGCCGTCCAGTTCTCCAGTCATCTTTGCAGGAGGTCAGGCCTATACCATTCAAGGACAGTATGCCATTCCACAGCCAGATTTGACCAAGCTGCATCAGTTGGCAATGCAACAGTCTCATTTTCCTATGACGCATGGCAACACCGGATTCAGTGGCATTGAATCCAGCTCTCCGGAGGTGAAAGGCTATTGGGCAGGTTTGGATGCATCTGCTCAGACTACTTCTCATGAACTCGCCATTCCAAATGATTTGATTGGCTGCATAATCGGGCGTCAAGGCGCCAAAATCAATGAGATCTGTCAGATGTCTGGGGCACAGATAAAAATTGCGAACCCAGTGGAAGGATCTACTGATAGGCAGGTTACCATCACTGGATCTGCTGCCTCAGTATCTAATCAATGTCAGGCTTTCCTCGGAGACGGGTGGCATAGGGAGCAGCTAGAACAATGCAGATTCATCCATAATCCCTTTCTGCTGTTCACCACCACCCGTGATCCATCTGTGTAGTTTCTGAACAGTCAGCTATTCCAGGTTTTAAATAGTTTGTAAATTTTCAGTTTCTACACTTTATCATCCACTCGTGATTTTTTCATTAAAGCGTTTTAATTCCTTTCTCTGTTCAGCTGTTGATGCTGAGATCCATATTTAGTTTTATAAGCTTCTACCTGTTTTGGTTGTTTTGTTTTTTGGTTTTTTTTTTGTCATGAAATTTTTTTCCTGTTTGTCATGGATATGTAAGAGTGGAATATTAATACATTTCAGTTTAGTTCTGTAATGTCAGGAATTTTTTTTTTAAAAAATTAAAAGATGGACTGGAGCTTTTCCTTTGTCAATAGAAGAAAAGAAAAAAAAAAAAAGAAGGTCCAATTCATCAATTTTATCCTCTTCAGATTGTGCTTGTCTCTATGAGATTTGTGATTTTCGGCTTTATTCTGAGGTCACTCATGTACCTTGAGCTGATTTTTGTGTATAGTGTGAGATGTGGATCCTGTTTCATCTTTCTGCAGGTAGCAGTCCAATTCTACCAGCACCATTTGTTGAGGACGTTGTCATTTCCCCATTTATAGCTTTGATTTCTTTGTCGAATATCAGTTGACTGTAGATAGATGGATCCATTTGTTGGTTCTCAATTCTATTCCACTGATCTATGTGCCTATCACTGTACCAGTATCATGCTGTTTTGGTTTTTATTGCTGTATAGTAGGTTTTGAGGGCAGGGAGGTTTTGAGGGCTGGGCCTCCCATTTTTGTTTTTCAGAAGTACTTGCTTATTTGGGGTCTCTTTCCTCTCCAAATAAACTTGACGATTTCTCTTTTGATGTCCTTGGAAAAATTAATTTGGTATCTGTATTGGGATTGTGTTGAACATGTAGATTGCTTTTAGTAGGATTTTCATTTTCACAAAATTGAGTCTTCTTATCCATGAACAGGGAACACTTTTCCATTTATGTAGTTCTCTTATTGTGTCTCGCAAAAATGTTCTGTAGTATTTTGTTTTGCGTTTGTCTTTGGTTTTTTGTATAGGTCTTTTGTGTCTCTACTTAGGTTCACTCTCAAGTATCTCAATTTGTGGTTGGCTATCATAAATTGTATTGCTTTCTGGTTCCGTCTCTTAGTTCTTTTTGTTACTATAGATTTTTGAATCTTGTATCCTGTAACTCTACTAAATTGATCTATAACTCTAACAATTTTTTGGTTGAGTCCTTGGGGTTTTCTGTGTACACTATCTTATAATCTGCATAGAGCGACAGTTTAACCATCTCTTTTCAGATCAGGATACCTTTTATTTCCTTCTCTTGTCATATTGCCCTAGCAAGCACTTCCAGTACAATATTGAATAGCAGAAGTGACAATGGACATCTTTGTCTGGTTCCTGTTTGCAAAGAAAATGCTTTTAGTCTTTCTCCATTGAGAATGATATTGGCTCTTGGTTTTGCATATATACTTTTCATTATGTTGAGGAAATGCCCTTCTATTCTAATTTTGCTGAATGTCTTAGTCAAGAAAGGGTGTTGAATTTTTGTCAAATGCCTTTTCTGCATCAATGGCTAGGATCATATAGTTCTTGTTATTTCTTTTGTTATTGCGGTGAATTATGTTGTTTTTCTTATGTTGAACCATCCTTGCATACCTCTTATGAATCCCACTTGGTCATGATGAATTTTTTTTAAGGTGCTTTTGGATTCTATTGGTTAAGATTTTGTTAATGACATTTGCATCTGTGTTCATGAGAATATTGGTCTGCAGATTTCTTTTTTTATAATGTCTTTGTCTGCTTTTAGTATTAGGGTTATGCTTGCTTCATAGAATGTCTCTGGGAGTGTTCCTTCTTTTTCTGAATTTTGAAATAGGTAGAATTGGTGAT